ATTATTATTATTATTTTTTCCGTCAGCATTGGTACTGTAAACCAACCAACCAACCAACCAACCAACCAACCAACCAACCAAGTTACCCATGGTCATTTGGGGGCCCTAAAGTGAAATATTGATCAACCGCCATGTAAAAAAAACCTCATCCTAGCTCTGGATTAAAAAAAAACATCGCCCGATGGCGGTGCCTGAGGATGGCCTTGGTCTGCGCTAGAGGCTTGCCATCGATGAGCAGGACCTCAACCCGGCGAGTTCGTCAGCCAACCAAAAAACATGCACATGCAGCGTGAGTCTGATCCATAATGTGGATGGACGACATCCAATTCGCACCACTTTGAAGCAAAGGAAACCAGAACGTTTCTCGGTATTTGCATTGGAATTATCATTCCAGGGTTTCTGAGTTGGTGCAGGAGTTCGTCCACTCACAATATATTGGGTTGTTGGACCCCCCAAAAACCAAAATGTGAAGCTTGCCGGTTGAAATTCTTTTGAACAACAATGAAGGAGGTCTGACTTCGTGTTTTGGGGTTGGCGGCATGAGGCTGAGTGAGTGAGTGAGTGAGTGAGTGAGTGAGTGAGTGAGTGAGTGAGTGAGTGAGTGAGTGAGTGAGTGAGTGAGTGAGTGAGTGAGTGAGTGAGTGAGTGAGTGAGTGAGTGAGTGAGTGAGTGAGTGAGTGAGTGAGTGAGTGAGTGAGTGAGTGAGTGAGTGAGTGAGTGAGTGAGTGAGTGAGTGAGTGAGTGAGTGAGTGAGTGAGTGAGTGGAGTGAGTGAGTGAGGAGATAAGATGGGACCTCCCCCTGACTTTTCTAGGAATTGCTGTCTCTCTTAAAATGAAGGACGCCCCAAATGCTTCACAACCCGAACGGTATGGGCTTGCAAAAAGAATGACAGCTTTTGTTTGCAGCCCCCAAACACCTAAACATGAACAGAGCCAAAGAACAAGAAACCAAAACACTTGCCAAGAACAGTAAAAGAAATGCTCGGCTTTCTCTTGGAACAGGGTTAAGTAAAAGACACACCCTTCTCTCGCCCATGTTGCCAGATGCCCACTGGCCATGGGACAAAAAAGGGCGCCCTTTTCTTGTTGGTTGAGTTTAGAAGGGAACCCCTTACCCAAAAAAATGAAAAAGGGCAGCACTGGGCAACAGAGCCCAACAAGTGCATCTTACTTTTGTGTTAAGCGGAAAACTCTTTCCCAAAAGTCAACATGTCACTACCATGTGTTTAAGCCCCCTGGAAAATATGTCCAGTAGTGATCGATTCCATTTAAAACCAACAGGGGAAATAAACAAACATATTCTTAAACAAATGGAAGGTCAAGTTGGCAAGCACGGCTCTTGTTTCATTCTCAAAGTCAATCCTGAGGTATCTCCCAGCACCAAACAACTCATACTCACCCAACCCCCAATTGGTTGTTTTTGTTTTTAGTATTGGATTTCAAACCACCGACTAAGGGTTACCTGACATACATCCAGCTTGTGGCTCAGACATCCAGTGGTTGAGAAGAAAAACAAAACAAAAAACGCCACCCTTGGGTCGCTGACTTTTTTCAGGAAAGAGGGCACTGGGAAAGGGAAAAGGCCAATGATGCAGGGAGAGTGGTGCTCCCAGCCGTCAAACTTGGCTACCAGCAATTGAAGTCAAAGTGGTCCATGCGGAAAGTACGAGAGATGCATCTAAGAGGCGTGCTATGACTTCCAGTAGCTGTGTGGCCTATGGATTCCTCTTGTTCATAGGTGGAAAACAGAAAGGACAAGTTGTGCCTCACATCCCTTGACATCCCTCGACGCCCCTTTTCTGGCATGTCACATGGCCCTGGCTTGCTATGCGTTGACAAAGAGTAGGCCATATTTCACAAACCAAACCTCGGTTTTCTTGAAAAGGGCAACCCAACAAGAAGTGGTTTAAACAATATGCTTGGACATGTTCAAACAAAGTATTGGCCCAAACCCTGCTGCCGGACAAGACATGATCATATGACTGTAAAGACTTCTCCTTTTGGGGGGGATAGCTTAGTCATGTTTGCCTTGGTATGCCTGTGTCTTGTCATGTTAACATCATCATATGTGTTTCATTCCTGCAAAAAGGACAGTGAGGGATGGATGGTTGAGTGAGCACGACAACAACACATCCAACTTGGGAAACTTTGGCTTTTCCGAAAGGACAATAGTGTGCCTCCCCAAAAAGAAAGCTTTCGTCTTCCAAAACCCCCGCGTTAGTTTCCATGGTATGAAAAACGTGAAGGGAATCCACCAGTTCCCTGAGATCACTCTGCCTTCCATAACGGCCAAAGGGCTGGCAGCTGATGGTAGGGAGCCGCCTGCGCGCAATTGTTTAAACGGAAGCCGAACAAAACAGCCCGAAGCGAGCTTTCCACACTGTGGCTTTTGGCGCTTTGAGTTTATTGCACAATCTCAGGTGGATTCAGCGCTGCACGGCACCGGACATGATCGTGTGACCAAGCAACAGATGATGGCTCACCAAGAGAGCCATGACGAATTCATGGGCCGGGTGGCAGGATGATCCCCGGGCAAGGACATCCAAGGGGGAACTCAAAAACGGCAATACCATCGGATCGAATGAAGTCCTGATGCAAGAGTGGGCCGCTGAAGGGGTCGAGGGGTAGAGTGCCCAATCTTATGCAGTGAGCAAGAGGAGATGCCTGTGCCACATGGCCACATGGCAAAATGCGGGCATTTCTGAGTCTGGCTCAAGAAGAGGAGCGCATTGCATCTTTGGCAAGGATACGGTTGGTACATGAGTCGGCCGTGGATTGGTCGCGGAGCTCCGAGCGGCCAGGGTCATCTCGATGAGTGCGCCATGGAGCTCAAGGCAGCCAACATCTTCTACATTACGTAGGTCAGGCCACCTCAGGCTTTTCCTCCAGGAAGGAACCCTCCACAGGAAGATTGCGCCGTAATTGCAAGAAAGGATCTGTTCCCTGGTCAAGTTGACAGGAATGTGTTTATATGGGTATGCGACAACAAGGTCAGAGAGCGGTGAAAGGCTTGCAAACTCAGAGAGCGGTGGGAGGTTTCCCACACTGTGGATGACGAAATCCGTACACACCACTTTGAAACCAGGAAAAACCATTGTTTGTTGCTATTTACTGGGGAATCGAATCATTCCAGAGTTCCTTAAGCGGTGCAGGATTTCGTCCAGCACAGTATGACACGCCCATAGCCACCAATCCCGTGAGGACCAAACCATATGCGGGACTAATATGTGTTCTCGCCAATAGGATCTGGCAACTTTCCTCAGGATTTTGACCCATGAGCGCCTCTATTGGATGTGTGCGTGTATTTGTCAAAAAAAGGGGAACCTTGAAACACACCAAAACTGTTATTTCCCTTTGGTTCTAACACCTTGTGCCTTTGAAGACACCCAAACGCGGGACAAAAACGGCCGAAGCATACCCCTCCGCTTCCCTGTCATGGAGTGGCATTCCGCCACCAATTTGACAACTTGCGAGGTTGGAAACCAACAAAAAAAGGTTTGAATTCTGGGTATTAATTTGAATTCGGGACCCTTTGGTGGACATCATTCAAGTGGGGATTTATGTCCACCAACCATTTTTCAGAAGGTTCCCCATTACAATTCATAGCCTTCTCAGTTTGGGGGGAAAGTTGTCCATGGTCAGTTTGTAGATGGAAAATTCGCTGGTTTCCAAGCGGGAACCCCAATATGTGTGGGGCCGTCCTGTGCTTCCATCAAGGGAGCCCTCGAAAAAAGACACCAACTAGACTGAAATCCAGGGGTCGGGTTTTGGATCAAATTTGCCTATGGACGCCTGAGGATACCAAGAAAACGCCAAAGGGCGCTAGTAGGGATTCCGCGCTATTCAGGCTGGCTTTTGCGGGCGCGCAAACCACGAGACAACTTACAAAGGCCGAGAGGGTCGCGCGGGCACCGCAGAAATCGTAAAAAGTCCTGTCTCTTTAACATCAACCACGCGGATCTGCGCAGAGGGTCGCGCGGGCAGATCAGAAATCGTAAAGAGTCCTCAGTTTTTTAACATTGACCACGCGGACCTTCGCAGAGGGTCGCGCGGGTAGACCAGAAATCGCAAAGTCCTGCATTTTAACTTCAGTCACGCGGACCTCTGCAGACGGTCGCAATCCCGGGCGATGACCAAACTCCCGCCCCGGCACCTTAGAAACCTAAACTAGCTTACATAGCTGCTTGCGCCGAAGCTCTACGCAAGCTTTCTCACCTTGGCTCTGCTCTGTGCCACTTAGCTCTGTGCCACCTGGCTCTGTGCCACTTGGCTCTGTGCCAATGCTCTGTGCAACTTGGCTCTGTGCCACTTGGCTCTGTGCCACTTCGCTCTGTGCCACTTGGCTCTGTGCAACTTGGCTCTGTGCAACTTGGCTCGGTGCAACTAGGCTCTGTGCAACTTGGCTCTGTGCATCTTGGCTCTGTGCAACTTTTGGCTCTGCGCAATTTGGTCCAAGGGCTCCGCACGGAAGAACCCCGATGCTTTCGGGAAAAAGACAACACACATACATCAAAGCAATCCGAACGAATCCGGATCGGCACCGCCGCATCGATGCGATCGATGGCCTGTTTCTCCTTGCCCTCCCACTGGTCACCTGGGAGGGGCCAAAGGAAGCCCAAGAAACCAGCTTGTTGATTGGCACCATAACTCCCTAGGAGGGGCTATGGAGGGGGGGGCTATCCCTAAATAAGCCCAGGAGAAGCCAAGTTGACAAGACATTAATAAGGCCTTAGATGGTAGTAAGGGACAGCCCCCCCTCCCCATGGCCTGCCTAAGTCCATGTCAACATGAGGTGTAGCTGAAAGGATTGCCCCCAAGCCATCGAGGGTTTGCTATTTGTTTGGAGATTCCTTGCTTTGAGGAGGCACCCAAAGCAACATTGACCCTTTTTTACATGGGTTCTTAGAGCCAGACGTCAAGTGAAATTCCGGAGCCCCAAGCTGAACTGCCATACCCAGCCATATCCCGGCTGAGACTCTGCAAGCTGTGGGCCCCGGTTGGTCTGGACCATTCCCAGTCTCCGAGTTCTCATGCGGTTCTCGGGGTGTCGCCAAATATTGGAACTGCCAAAATAGTCATCTCTACTCTTGGTATGATAGAAAAAAACTTTGTTTTTTGCAGACCCCCAGTAAAAATGAACAGAACCAAAAAACTAAAAAACCAAAACACATGCCAAGAACAGTGAAGTAGTTGATTTCCTTGGCGCCCTCGTTTCAACACTATCCCCGAAGGAATTTTCAATTTTGAGACAAGTCCCCATGGCGTCTCAAGCCATCGATCAATCTTCGTCACGCCGCTGAGCCGGCTAGGCCGCAGGGCTACGGATTCGGTGGTCTTGGAAGGCATACCTCGACCAAGAAGCACGCACTTGTCAACTTCTGGACTTGCTGGAGCTGTGTAACACGAAAAAATGGGTTCCGCCTAGATTTCTTAACATGCAAACCGCTGATTTCTCCAATGACAAGCTGGTAGGTCGAAAGTATCGAAAGGCTTCCGTATAGTTGCCCGCCATACATCGCACCACCAAAAGAAAGCTCACTCTGAAAAGTCCACGCATGATGAGTTTTAAACCACCCGCAAAGGGGAAATGGTTCTGGATCCCGGATCAACTCACCCAGTATTTTTCAATGCAGCCGCCGTTCTCCCCGTGGAACCTAATAAGCCCCTTTTTCAGGTGCATCTGTCTGTACCTCGGCCAACCTTCAACCCTCTGCTCTTGCTTCATCCATTCTAATCAACCAGGCACCTATCCCCTTCCGTTTTTTCTTTCTCAGAACGTGGCCCACCCATACAACATGGCTGGCCTTAGAAGAGGATGGGTGGCTGAGGCCATCACTACATCAAAGCGTCTCAGGGCTCGAACCATAGCTTGCTTCCGGGTTTGTCTCAAAACAGGAATTGGACTCCAAATGGTTGGATTGCTTTCGGTACGCCTTTGATTAACCGAACATGGTCCCCTAGCCTCCTTCAAAGTGAGTGGCATTCTGTTTGTTTATTAAGCCATAACTCCAAAGATGCAACCCTAAAGGGTTGGTTCGCTTGCTAGCCAAATTACCAACCGAACAGGGGTCCCCTAGCCTTCAAAAATGAGTGTTCCTTTGGTTTCCCCCAAGCAACAACTCCAAAAATGCTGCACCCACAATGGCAAACACCCCCAGAACATGGGTCTGCTCAATCATGCTGAAACTGTGCGCCAGTCCTCCTTGGAGCACGGCACAGTGGCCTTCAAGCCGTAAAAAGGCAAAAAGCTTTCACTTGGTCAAGGTTTCTGGAAAAAAAACACAGTAGTGATAGATTCCTTTTAAAACCAACAAGGGACAATTCAGTGATTATATTAAGAGTCTCAGATCCATGGGGTTTAGACCTTACCTCAATTTATCTCAAATTATCTCAAATTATCTCAAATTATCTTATTTTTGCATCTAATGTGCAAAAAGATGCAAAAAAATGCAAAAAGATGCAAAAAATTGCAAAAAGATGCAAAAAAGTGCAAAAACATGCAAAAAAGTGCAAAAACATGCAAAAAAGTGCAAAAAAGTGCAAAAAACAGAATGCAACAAAATGCCCAAAAAACTGCAACAAAATGCAAAAAATGCAACAAAATACAAAAAATACAAAAAGAGTGCAAAAACAATGCAAACATACATGACACAAATGCAAACAAGGACAAACACATGCAAGAACATACAACATGCATTAAGTGTGTGTCACTCAATTCTATAATAATGATTATTTTTTATTGTTGCATCAGTGAGTCGCAAGTCATCATGAGCGCACGTTAGCGCCAGCAACGTTGGACCATTCCATTGTCCATCATCATTATTCATTCTTGACGTCGCTGGCGAGCCAGCTCAAAAAAATACTCTGCCATGATCCAAGTCAAGCGCTTTCAATAACTTGTGGCAAGGACAGGTGCACGGATCATCATCATCATCTTCACAGACCGTTGGACTGGGGTATTCTTGCACATAAGTCGAATCAAAGTTCGAGCAATGGGAGCAATGCATTGTCTTGCGATTGTCGTTGATGATCATGAGCACTGCGCCACGCATGCCAGTAACAAAGGTCACAGGTTCCCGATTGACGTTCAGCTGACTCGGCAACTCAACAAACGCTTCATGTCCAACCCACATAATAGTCACACCACGACCACACATGCCGCGCCGGTCACCGGTCCTGAAATCTGTCAGAATAGATTCTGCAAGAAATTCTGGGCAAGGTTCACGTTCCAGTTCCGAGTCCAGCTCCGATAAATCTGACTGCTCGACGTCGTCATTGTCATTCCCCTGCTGAAGCTCCGGCTCAGTCATTTCAACTCCCCAGTCCCGTGGCTGAGCGTCAGTCCAGTCAGGCTGAGGACGTTCGATTTGACTCAGACACACTGTCGCACTGGCTTCAACTTCTGATTCTGAAGATTCAGTGTGACACACTGTCTGACTTGCAGGAGAATATGTCACTGTCCGACGCTTCTTATCAGCAGGCAAGCCAGTTGACATGAGGCTTCAATGTCAATGGTTCACAAAATCTCAATCAAGCACGTTGAGTCAACTGCTACTGACAGGCTTGAGCCGCAAAACCGCATCTCAAGCATGACTGGAATGTTTGCAGCCTGAACATGGGTCATGGTTCATGTCATTCATGATGGCATGATGGCATGTGCGCGCACGGCTGTTGCCATAAACTCAAATGAAGTCAGGATATTTATAGAGCGACAACTTGTTTCTTCCTCTTGTTCCATTGACTGCTGGGCCTCAAGTGAGCTTCCGCACTCACGCATCTAAACTCACTTGCGCAGCCCTGTTGCTGTTTTCCAAAGTCGCACACAGTCGAGTCAAGCAGGTCGCCCATCAGTTAAAAGTTGCAGCTCCGCTCTGTGCTGGAGCAACACACTGCTTGTCTATTATTGGCTGAAGATCAATCCAGCACGAGGCCATGACGCATTGAATATGCACGAGCAAGCTTGTGACAGGCGCACCACAATGGTGCGCTAAGCCGCACGCAGAGCACCAAAGAACACGATCTCGCGCAGCCAAAGTAATAGTTCCAGCCCTGGCAGTAAAAAACCACACCTTTTTATGCATCGATGTGCTGTAGCTCACGGGCATCCGAACAAACCAGTCACCTTCGATGAACTTGAACTTGCGATCGGCAGTTGGTAAGGGCATCTGCATCTGGTCAGCAAGCACTTCTTGAAGCACCACTGGGCGCAGATCTCCCGTGTCTGGAGTCGAAGAGCGTGGTCGTTTTTTTGTGGGAATCACATCTTGGGGTCCACTCAAGGTGCCCTCCTGGCATGTGGCCTCCTGGTGTTCCTCATCATCAATGGCAGTGTCATTGGCCATGTTGTTTGTGCACGGCGACGCAGACTCAATAATTATAGTAGCAAAACTACCAGCATCCTCACATTTCCATAGCTTCTGCCTTAGATAGTGTGCGCCCGAACCCCGCACCATCACTTTGCCTAAATTGATGACAGCAACACCTAATGCATACAATCATTATTAAGCCCAGCAGCGACATTGCGAGTTTAGCAAAAGTGGGAAGCACTTGAATCTGCGCTTTCAACTGACAGCACTTGAACCGAACCGCCACAACTTGTTTTGCCACAAGCAATTCCCGTACACAAGTGCAAGCAGGCCACTGACATGATGAGATACTTTGCACTCAGCACACCAGAGGTTCTCGCTATTTTATCAAGTCGTGCGCAACTCGCAAACGAGCAAAGAATTATGCCTTCTGTCTACAGCCACATGTTTTGGAAGACTGGATCCAGTCCTTAACCTGTAGCTCAGTCATTATAGTGCTTGTCCTCCTCAATTGGCCTTTTGATGGCCACTCGCCTGGCAGAGCGCCACCACAGCACAGAACTAAGACTTCAAGACTATTATTACGCACACACACACACAAAGAATGGTCATTATGATTTGCCCGCCTTTCTCCCAGTCGTAGCACCTCATGATCCAGGTTGGCTTGTCTCGGCCCCCTGGCGCTGGATGAAACTTGTAATGCCCACATTGCTTGCGGCAGGTATTGCAGGAAACCTCAGTCCAGATAAGCGGATCAAACACAGCAGGTTGCCGGGGTCCATGGTGGCCAGGGCGACTTGATTGTGCACCGGCACCATCAGCCATAGCCAAATCATCGGCACTGCTGGAAGCAGCAATGACACTTGCCCCAGAACTTGGCAATGGCTCATCACTGTGCCTTGTCGATTTGCTTGGAGATTGGGTGTGGCTGGCAGGTGGCAGGTCCGCCTGCGGACTCAGCCTGTTGCCGTCGTCCGCCACACTGGCTGGCTTGTCTTCTGGAGGAGCCGTGCTGTTGTCCTCCGCCACACTGGCTGGCCGCTCTTCTGGAGCAGCCTCGGCCTGCGCAGCAGGCCTCGCAGATTCAGGGCATGACGACACTGAGTGAGTTCTACGAACCACCCGCCGCTGCCATGGATTCGGAGTCACAGCTTCAACTTCTTCAGGGACTTCAACCAGCACGTTTCCCTTTTCATGGGTGTCACCTTCGCGAAGAGCAGGGCAGTCTTGTCTTTTCTTCTTCAGTGCGCCATGCCAAATCTTCCTGCTCGCCTTGCTGGCCACTTTGGAGCTGCTTGATTTGGCAGTCTTCAGCCCCTTTATTATGTTGGCTTTGTTGCTTGCCTTGGCCTTGGCCTTTGTCTTGGCCTTGGACTTGGCCTTTGTCTTGGCCTTTGCCTTGGCCTTTGCCTTGGCCTTTGGCGTCATGGCCTTTCTGACTACTGCCCATTCCTTCTGCTTCGCACGAGCCTGATGTTTCTCAATTGTTTTTTGAACTTGCTCAAACTCACGACGATCTTCTGGGTCCATGTCCTCCAACACCATTGCATCAAACTCAAGATCATCCTGATCAGCATTGCAGGCACTCTCATCAGAATCACTGTCGTTGCCAGCGGGGGCATTGTTGTGCAGAGCTTGGACCTGAGCCGCGAAGTTGGCCGTGATGTCATCAGTATCGCCATCCCGCTGTGACGTTTCCGCAGCAAGAACTTTCAATAGCTCAGGTCTGCTCATCGCTTGAAAAACTGGCACAGCAGTCTTGCTGCAAGCACGCAGGTCGATGCCCTTCAAGTAGCACACCAGGGCCGCCAGCTCTTTGTTCAGCATCTTCTTTGTCAGCCTGAGCAGGTGACAGCACAACTGACAACAAGACAACATCAAGCATGCTGCCTGACATGAGTGTCACAGCGCGACTTTCAGATCCAAGCAGCGTTGGCTGTGTAAGAAAAGTTCTCAGCAAGCTGCGCTCCACACCGGACGATTGCCTGGCCAATCGGAGACCACCTTGCCACTCAATGCAAACAGGCTGCGTCTCCACCACC